AAAGCAGCTTATTATAGATGTATTATAGAGGTTCTAGTAAATTATACAGGTTGTTGAAATGACATTGCATTTTTACTACACACATGACAATAAAGACATACAAAGTTCAGCATTATTGAGTACACCCCATTTTGAAAATGAATATTTTTCTCCACTTCTCAGTGAATACAGGCAGTGTATTTTGGTGCATTTGAACAAAACAGATTTATTAAACAAATATATTTATTAAAATAACATTTTAGTGGCCAAAAATCTTTAGAAATTGAAAGATAATACAACTATATTCAAGCAAAATATTGCAAAAATAAATTACAACCTACAAAATTTCAAGTAAGTTTTTCATTTTTTATATTTATTTATTTATTTATTTATTTATTTATTTATTTATTTATTTATTTTGTTTCTCTTGATTTTTCTTCTTTTAAATTTGTATTTAATATGTTTCACAATATATACATTTGGGTGTACTACTATTTGGACCATTATCGTAAGTTATTTTGTCAGATAACCCTTTTGGCATCTTTGACATAATATATGTTTGATTTCATTTGACCTCTTACTGTTTCTCAAAAATCTGACTTGTAACTCCATAATGTGTATTGTCATAATGTCTTTTATATTTTACATGTGTTTGTGTCAATTACAACATAAATGAGTACACCCCAGTTTGAAAATGAAACTTTTTCTTCATTTCTCAGGGAATAGCTCATATATTTTGGTGCATTTAAACACGGTCAACTCCGGTCAAATCTGCTCCATGTCACAAGTCCGCCGTCGTGCGCAGCGAGCCACTGGACAAACTGGTAACAGTGGGAAAGCCGTCAATACAAAGGTAAGTGCGAAAAGGAACTGCTGCACACCGTCCTGTAGCGTTCGTTTTAAAGATGAAATGCAGCCGTATGTCCCTCTGGCGACAGGTATCCACTTGAAACAGTGCTGAAATGTAGGGCAGTGCTTTTTTCTGTTCTTTGGGAACTAATTAAATTGTTTAAAGACAGCGTTGCTAACGGAATGAAGGAAGATTGATGAGTAGAAGAATTTAGGGTAGAAACGAGACACTCACTCGTAGCCCCGCCCTCAATGATTTATAGCCTCGCCTTAATTGACTGATAGCCCCATCCTAAATGACATATAGCCCTGCTCTAAAGCAGTAGTCCCCAACCTTTTTATCACCGTGGACCCGTCAACGATTGATTTGCTGCAGCTTGGAGGATGGGTGTATGTAGATTGCTAGGTGACCATCAATCTCAGAGGATGACAAGCTAACAAAATATTGCTGCAACTCTGATACAAGTTTTATTTATGGAGAAAATTTAAAAGCGCTGGAGTGTTTGGGTGTTCTGTGTTCGTCTGAGATAATTAGTCTACCGAAATGTGCTAGTGATCAGAGGCTGCGTAAATCTGCGTAAACACTCTGTGAATGTGTTGGCGTTACGGTATAAGTGATCGAAACTGGGGAAACCATCAAGTCGGGCTGTCATTGAAATATTCAGCGTTTTCTTTTATTCTGGAGTACTGCAAAGTCTATAGTTGCGTTTATTTGTGGGCATGGGAAGATTTTGTGTAGGACCCAACTTTTAATAGTTTTTCTGCTCTCTATGGTGTAACTTAACGTTAGTTGAGCAGAATGTGTTGACATTAGCCTTTTCTATTGAGGTTTATCTGCGTGGAGCAGTAGAAACACTTACCATCTGGTTCACACTGAATGCTCTGCAAGTTAACTGTCTCTCTGATGCCTTTGCAGTGACAGAAGGTATGAAGACAGTATCATAGCGAAGCCATGGTTGATAAAAGAAAACTTCAAGGTGAAATAGATCGATGTTTGATACCCCCCCCACCAAAAACTTTCCAAAGACGTCTGTTTCTTAATCGTTTTGCTAGCTTTGGGGCTAAATTTTGGCACTCAAGTGACCAAGATGGAACCGAGAGAATACGGTCACTTTTCAAAATAAATGATTCAGACACAGTAATAAATAAAACATAAATAATTAAAAACTTCTCGTGCGACTCAGTACCAATTGATCCACTGGCCGATACCGGTCAGCGGCCAAAGGGTTGAAAGCAGACTGATAGCCCCACCCCAAAGGATTTCCATGTGGTCATTTTCATTCCCGTTGTTTATGGATTCTGATTAAAGTTTATCTGGGCAAATGTATTTTTCCAATATAATGAAATACTCAAATACATTGTTTATAAGTACTACTATACACATATAAAAATAAGAAGAGAACATTTCGGTTTCATTGCAACTTAAGGGTTACTTAAATATGAAAGTTCTGGCATTAAATACATTAATCCACCGAGGCATGCAGTCCGTTTTAAGGATGTTTTTTTCTATTTTCCTGGACTGCAAGATTTCATCTAAAATATCTTAATTTGTGTTCTGAAGATAAACAAAGAGCTTAGGATGTAATTAATGACAGAATGTTCACTTTTGGGTGAACTAACCCTTTAAGTGCAGTGTGAATATTTATGAGGTCATTTTGTTGATTAGTTTAAGAAGAGACAACCAGGCTATGATAAGAAAAGCCCTTAACTGCCTCTGTTATAGTTCCTAGTTACACAGGGCAACATCTTTTTAAAGAAATACCCCAGAATTAAACAATAAACAGCATTAAATTAAATTAACATTACCATTTCACTGACATGTTATATTTACATCTGACTTCCAAACAGAGCTAATGCACCTCAGAGTGAACATTGAGCTCTGGTCTTTCTGTGTGGTCTCCGTTTCGCGTACACATTGTGTTTTCGTTAATTGATCGTCAAAGCGGTTTGATTTAATGCTCTATAAACAACCTGCTCGTACAATCAGCTGCAGTAAATGGAGGATGGATGTCTCTGTGTTTGTGTGTCTTATGTTTAGATGCCTTCTATACCCCGATCTATTAAAGACAGCTTTCTGGAAAGAGCGACTGGCAAAAATGGGTGCGCTTAGCTGTAGATCAGAGAGTACACTCATGCAATCACAGACACACCGGGCTTTCAATGCCCAGGTCCATTAGACTGAAACCCACATGTTTGTAGGTCATTTGTGCAATCACTAAGTGCATTTTATACAGTTTGTATGATTGTAAATTGTGTGTTTACAAGGCGTTCATATCAGAAATGTAGTCTCTAATGTTCCTAAAATATGTATGTGAAGTTTCAGCTCAAAATACCACACATTTAGTGTTTTATAACTCTTTAAAACCGTCCCGTTTAGGCTCTGATCCTACTTTCGCTTTAAATTCAAATGAGATGCATATCTATGCATATCTTCTTTTTAAAAGAAGGCGGAGCTACTGATGCCTGTGTGTCAGCATAGTGGCAGATTCATAAACAAGACTAACGTCCATTGCTAATGAGGGAGAGTTGGTCACTAGTGGGCGGGGCTTTCCCCCTCTGATGACACGTACAAAGGGAGAATGTCAATCAAAGTGTTTCTGCAGACTGATTTAATCAAGTGTGACAATAAAAAATGTAATTAATACATTTTTTGCCATTAGAAGCTGGTTATATTCACAGACTGCTTTCAAACAACAGTGTTTAAACCCCTTAGACAAGTGATTTTTGCATAGTAGGTCCCCTTTAAAGGTATTCCAACCTTCTACATGATCGGTTATGTGAGCCAATGGTGTTTGGTGTCATTAAAAGCAAAGCTACATGAGACATTTAAGTAAAGCTGGCATATGCTGAACATTTAAAACAGATTAGTTATAAAAATTAGAAAGTCATGAAAACAAATCTGCCTTGTGGCTGACCAAAAACATACGGGCAGGCGTGCACATACCTTTTTTGTCCTGTTCACAAAAGCCCCTTTCACACATACAGACAATTTTCTGGAAAGGTTGTATGTGTGAACAGGTCCTTTTTGAAAATACTGGTAA